AAAGCTAAGATTATATTTTGATGCTTTTGTAGCGAATTCTTAAATGACCCTTTTATTCACAAGTGTTTCCATTATTTTGATAATCACATGTATATAAATACATATATATATATAATTAAGCTCCCTTATATTGAGCTGAAGTTTTCTTTTATTTAGAACACTTGTGGGGAAGAACTTGTTTAAGCTTGTAGCTTACTTGTATGCGAAGGCTATTTTATTCCATGAAATTCAAATATTATAGAGAGTTAGATAAAAACATGAGAAAAAGTGCTTTGTATAGGAGTAAACAAATACTCGTGTACAAAAAGCTAATTTTACATTTCCTTTTTTTTTTATAAGCTACAACGAAGTTTTTTTAATGGTTTTAGTCCCCTAGAACTGCTCCTATCGTTATGAGCTCACGCTTGATTTGAAAAGATTTCTAATATGCAAGTGCAAATTTTTTTTTAATAATATAATACATTCGAGTTGAACTGTAAGAAATTGTATTGGCAGTTACAGTAGTAACTCTATTTAATGTATAAAAATATAGTTTTTATTTAGTATATAATGTTGTTATTATAGCATTCCTCTTCCTAAACTGAAAAATGTTCTTTTAAGTTCTTATTATAATTATAAAAATATGCATAATTGCAATTTTGATTTTTAGGAAATTCTAATTAATAATTATCTTGACAATGTAAAACATTTAATTTGTTCGAATTGATAGAATAGATGTAATTTTTTTATCACTTCTAGCTAACTTATTTTTGCACTTTTAATATTAAATATGTTTTTAGAATTATTTTTGATTTAATACATTTAATTTTCGAAATTATACAATTCCGTTAAGGAATATTTACTCTGAGGAATTAATCTTACTTTATGATATATTACAAGACTTCATTTTCCACCCTCTGTTATAGAACCAATAAATCTCTTGATCATTTTATAATGACTAATATAATCAAAAAAAGAGTTCTTTGTCAGAAACTAGTTATTTTATCACGATCATGTAAAGTCTTTGAAAATTATTTTGCATTTTGTCAATGTATATCATGCTTAAAAATATTTTTTGAGCGCTCTAAAAGTACTTAAAAGGTGATATTTTTTGTTGAAAAATTTGACTATGCGTCTTGTAGTAGTGAAATATAAAAGCTTGTTGAATTAATTTTTTCAATGTTTTAGACAAATTTCTTTATTTACTCTTTTTTTTTCTTAATATACATGAAAAAAATTGCAAATCTTAATTTCTGCACTTAATTTTACAATTCAATTTCAATGAAATCATTAAAAATGGAATGCAGATTAGTTTCATATGTTAACTTTTACAATCTGAATGACATTTTTTAACAATCTAGAAATTAAAAAAAAAAAAAAAACACCCGGTTTTGCAAAAATTTCCTGGTAATTCTTTGGCAAGCCCTGTTAATTAATACAATTATATCAGTGCTTACATTATATATAATAATATTTTTTACATAAAATTGTTTTTTAGTATTTTTTGATTTTTTTGGGAAGGTATATTCGATGATAAACAATCATACTATTTTTAAAGTCCTTAATTTTTCAAAATAGTACTTAATTTTTTCAAAAAGAAAGTCCTCAAAAGTGCTTAATTTTTGCTTTGTTGAAAGAGTGGGAACCCTGTATTAATTTTAGTTTTTTAGATAAAGTATTAAAAAAGAAGTATATCTGTAATGTTGACTTCTACGATAAAGGGAATGATTTTAAATTTAATATAAAAAAACTAATTGCATGGAATTCTAAAATTAAAAACATTAATTAAATATCATTTTCAATCAAATAAATGGAATTAAAGGGATTTTTAGCATTGTTTATTTATCCAAAAAACAAATGGACAAACTCCTTCAAAAATTTGGTTAAAAACAATTGATATTCTAGTAATGAAATTAAATTCTATATAAAATCATTGAGTAATTGTGTGTTATAATTATTAATAAGTTTATTTACAAAATTTTTTTTTTGTTATTTAAAATTTACAATTTTACCATTTGCAAATCTGTTACAGGACACAGTTCTTTTAATATTCAATTAAGGATTTTTTAAACTTATGTTATTTTTTTCTTCATTGTTGCTTAGGTACATGATGTTCACAAATGGCTGCAATTGATTACCTTTTCTAGTCATTTATGGGTGGTGCAATCGAATTACAGGACACAGTTCATGACATGAAAAAGCAGTCCACATCATCATGGAGCCACTATTAAGAGTGCCTTCTTGACAATTTGTGTCTTTGACTTGCAAGGCTCTGTTAAAACAAAAGGGAAACTTTTTTTTTTTTTTTTGGATGAGAGTCAAGGGTTGCTGGTAGAAATATTAAATTTGTTTATATGCCAGAAAGAACAAAAACTCAGAATGAAATATTTAAAGTTATGGATGAGATAAAAATATTTTTGATAAAAGTTATTATGAACTAATTGATGGGAAATATAGACAGGTGCCTAATTCTGTGACTTGGTGATCCAATATTTATATAGTATATATATAACCTTAAAATTGGAATAAGATAATGATGGCTTATATTTACTGGCATATATGCACTGGTTCTTAAAGTAAAAATATTTTTTGAAGAAAATTTGTAATTTTAAAGATATTTAATCTCAAATTTATGTCGGTATAAGTTATATTAAATTAGAAGTCTGTTATAATTTAATATGGCCTAATATATAGATTATTAGAGTTCTGTTCCATTTTCTTGTTACTTCTATATTCCGATGGTTGTTGGTTTTGCACAATCTGACCTACAGTTTTCTTTTCTTTTTTTTTAGATAAAATATTTTCTAAATTTTGCAGAATTTATTTGCTAGGATTTTCTTTTTCTTAATACTTATATTTACCAGATCACTTAGAGAATACTTATATGGGGAAGTATTCTCTAAGTGATCTGGAACCACCAGAATACTTATATTTACCAGATAAATCAGGAAAAGATATAAAGAATCTTGAATTAGATCCTGAAAATTAAAAAAGACACATACATATGTCTGTCTGCTAGTTAGTTATCCAGAGTTGTTAACTTTGTGTTTCTAAAAAAATTCTTTTTTATTGCAACCCTGTAAATGAGCTTTTTTTACAACTTATATCTTTATTAAATATTTCAGGGAAATTTACTTAATTTTTGATAGATTACTGTCAAAGATTTCATTTTAAAATAAACTTAATTTGCATTGACTCTTCAATTTTCAAATTTATCTCATTTAATCTCTTGAAATCTTTATTTAATTCGTGTGAAATTTTTCTTCCAAGCATGATGACCTTCTAAATAATGATTATAAAACACGCGATTTAGGTATACACAGAGCTGTTGATATAGAATAAAATTCTCATTTTGCAATGTTTATAAATTTTTCTTTTAAAAGATATTTGGAAAAGAAAAATTTCTTTATTGAAATAAATAACATTGTTATTTAAGCAAAAAAAAAAAAAAACAGAAGGGAATCTTTAATTTTTTAAAAAAATTTTTACATCTATCTTTTTTTTAAATGATTACTTTATGTATATCTTTTTAAGGCTCGAGTATGGCAGAGAGACTACAGAGATCGAAGATTAATGCAACCTGATGCGGCATATTATAAAGAGGTATTTATTCCTTCAAACTATTGTTTATAACTTTTTTTCTATTTTTTGTTACTGAATTATTTCTACTTCTCAGATGACACCACCACTGAGTATGCCTGACAACCCCATAAATGCAGTCACCACAAAATTTGTGCGTACATCAACTAACAAAATGAGATGTCCTATATTTTGTGTGGCAGTAAGTTATTTGCAATAAACTTTTGATATTGTAAGCGTAGTTTTAAGGAGAAAATATGTAATTTTATCAGGAATGCTACTCTACATTTCTGTTCTCACAGATTTTAATTCAAAGTATGAAATTTCAGAAATTAAAATTGAGTACAAAATATCAGGTTACAGAAAAGTCTGTGTGTTTTCTACTTTTTAAATTACATATTGTCTAAAAAAATTTTCTCACTATGTGAAATTAAAGTTTATATTTCTGATTTATTTGATTTTTTTTAGCTTTATTTGATTTTTGTGACAACTTTCTTCAGTTAGTTTTTTTAGAAAAGTTTCTTTATTTAAATCTTTTAAAACATTTCTTTATTTGATTCTTTTAAAAAGTTTCTTTTTATGATTTTCGTATAACTTTCTTCTGCATTTATTACAGAGATCACTCAGTATACGTAGTTTTAATGTATGTTCGAGGAGGGTTATCTCCTTCTAACATATATTCTAAATGTTTAAATTATAAAAAATGAATAATGAAAACTTTTTCATATTTATCCCCTTCTTACCATTCAATTTTTCATTAATCAAGTAATGTATATATAACTTTGGCAGGGGTTTTGTCCACCAAAACTACGCCACTGATATCACTGAAAGAAAATTTAGTCAGACTAAATTTATTTTGAATGATAATTTATATGTAAATTTAGTTGTTATTCATCTTTCATTATGCATATTTTGAACTAATGATTTCATACATTTATCAGTCTTAATACACTCATCATGATAATACATTTATCAGTCTTAACTAATTTTTCTGACTAAATGTTTGAATGAGAGAAGCAAATTGCAAATATTTTGTCATTTTCATGGAAACTTGCATGATGATTATAGTAATTGATTAGAAATGAATGTAACTAATAACAGATTATAATTAAATGTTTATCAACTATTTGTAATCAAGTAATAAAATATTATCACAATTTCTCATTACAGGCAGTAATCATTGCTTATAATCATAACAAAAAGTGGTTACAGATAATCACAATTACAAGTAATCAAAATCTATAATTGCAAGTAATCAGCACTTCATGTTATCATAATTTGAGTTTAGGAGAAATCATAACTCTCAGTAATTATAAACTTATTATAACCAATTATCTTTAATACAAGTAATTATAAAATACAATAATTTCAGTAATGCAATCCTAATTTCACGTAGGTTTAATTACATTTTAATCAGGATTGTTGGTAATTGATTACTTTTCTACACAATGCATATATTGCATATTAAAATGAATGCTATTGTTAGGTATATTAAATGGATACTTTTAAGGATATATGTGCAAACATAGTTATGTAAATACATTGTACACACTAATACCTATGCATGTTATTGTATGTACATAAATGGGCAATTCTATGGTGACTGGTGTTACATTTTGATATGTTTTCTTATTTTTTAAATTTTTTCATTGATAAATTACATAGGAAGGACATTGAGTAATATGTCTTATTTTTATTTTGAAATGCTCCTCCTTCCATATGCATTAATGGGAAGGTTTTTTGAGATTTAATCTAGAGAAAGCTTTAAACTAACTGGAAGCATTTGAAAAAAATAAGGAAATGACCTATAGAAAATGGCAAATAAAAAGAAAAGCCCTTGTGACTGATGTTACAAATACAAAATATATTAAAATTTATCTAAAGTTTTTTTTAATCAATATTATAAAATATTTAAAAACTGCAACTTTTGATTTTATATCTGAAACAGTTGATAAAAAAAATAAATTTGTTAATGGAGGGAGGCTATTCTAAGTATACAATATGTAAATACATAGAGATACCTTGCACGGCATAGGTGCTGTGTGTGTGTAGGTATATTGTGACATCACTTACTTTATAATTAATTACGCGCTTGTAATAAAGAATATCCTAAATTTTAGTGGACACCTGAAGGTAGAAGACTGGTGCATCTAGCGGTGCATTTACTTTATGAAATGGATTAACTTTTAATTTTGAAGCTATTTTACAGGTAAAATAATAGTTGTTCTCTAATTTTTTGTGATATATCTCTCTTATCCATTTCTTATGAATTAAAATTTAGTTTATCATAAAATTTATTTTCACATATGTTGCTTTTTATTCCTACATGTAGTCAATGTTCACTAGGAGGCTTCGCCCCCTGCTCGCTAGCGCTCGCCAACCCCCGGAACTGCTTTCGCAGTTCATTTCGGATTGCTTCGCAATCCAATGCTCGCTCATTGGATACGTTCTTAACGTCTAGCTTTTGTATGCTTTTTTGAATACTGAAGTTCCGAAAACTTATCACTGTTGAAAATTCTAAACCTGTACATTTCAATATTAACTTGAAATTGCAAACAGTGCACATATTTTTCTTAATCACACAATTCTAAATTTCAGTTGTTGAGAAAAGTAACTGTTGTAAGTTTTGTTTCAAAGTCTTTACCACCAGAGGGCTAAAGCCAAGAAGCAGTTGTAGAAGTAGATTGTTTAAAACTTTTTATAGAATTTCTTTAAAAACACAATTGTTAATTTAGGCATTTGGCGATACAACACTTATAGAATTGAAGGATTTGTTACGTCAAGCGCTCAGGTATCATAATTTTGATCTAGTTGCGCATCTATGTCATTTTGATTTATGTTGCTAAGTTAACTTTCAAAAAATTCTATGGCTGGCAACAGCATTTTTATTTTTTAAGTTGTTTATTTTTATTTCTTTTAGAATTCGTTATTTTTTTAGGCAAAATGTTTTTTAACCTAACAGAATTCTTTGCCGACTGATATATGAAGAAATAAAGTAAATTTTTAAGTGTTGTGAAAAGAATCTTATTTAGTTGTACAAAGTACTTCAGCCAAAATTTGGGAGCCACGTAAGAGAATTATATATAATAGATTATTGATATTTCACTTTTTTATTAATATTTTCAACTCCCTCTTTCTTTTTGTCAGAAATTGTCACACTTCACTACCATTCTTTGTCATACTGCTACACAATCACCTCGTATATTTCTTAGAGATAAACTGTTAAGTCGAGGGTACCCAAGTTAAAGCTCTCTGTTAAAGAATGACATTTATGCATTTTATAAGATATTTAATAATTTTTATCTAAATGCAGGACTAAAAAGCAAAATTTTTTCAAGGAGTACTTGCATACCTTTTTTTTCTTATAAAATTTATAATTTTTTAAATAAAAAATTAAATTTAAAAAAATAAAATTATGAATTAAAAACAATTTAAGACAATTTTACAATGCTCCATAGTTTTTTTTAATTTTTTTTATAATTTTTACAGTGTCTTTATGAGCTGTATTTGTATAAACCAGTGATGCAAAACTTTTAAGGAGAAATTGTTTGTGCCTTGCTCAGGGAAACACGCAATTTATAAGTGCATAAAGGAGAAGATAAACTGTATATTATTTTTAAACTTTTAATTCGTACTTCACAATTAGTTTATATTGTGATCATTTGTAATATGAATTTTTTTATAAATTCTAAAATATATAAATTTTTTACAGTGCCTTAAACATGATGCACCAGTCATCATGTTTTCTAAAAAATGATGACTACTTATATTAATTGAGGTTCTCATTAATTGAAGAATTGAGACAATGCCAAAAATTTAACCATTCAGTACTTAGGAATAGTTAATTTAGGTAACTTTATGCGTTCCTGTTCAACGGTTTGAATGTCACTCTGATCGGGACTATTTAGAGAAATGTTAGCTTCCTGAAAGGAATTATTTGAATCAAGTTCTTTGTTTAAATTCTTAATGTTCTAAATTTTTTTCTAGTCATTTTTTTCTTTGTACTCTTCTATGCATTTAAATTCCTCTTCAGTGTCATTGATTTTGATTAAGCCCTCAATCCTCTTGTCAATGAACTTCGAGATCTTCCACACTTATGCCCGGTTTTAGAATGTCACTTTCGATTTTTGCAATTATCTTTGTCACCAAAGCTCTAACAATGATTTGTCTACTACTGAGAATATTTTACATCCGCACTGTGGGCTGTGCGAGCCTGGTGTGTAATTCATAATAATCAGCTGCCCCTGGGATTCGAACTTGCACCACCTCATAAAGAGGCGAGCATTCTATCTCCTGAGCCACCGTGGCTGTTTAAAATAATTTTATTTTTTAAAAATTATACCTTTTATTTATTTTTCTTCATAACTTTTAATGGTCTTATATCAGGTGGGCATGATTCAGATAATCTAATATCCATATTAATTGATGAATGATTTTGTGAGAGAAAATAAATGTTTCTAATGTGTTAATATGTCAACTACACTGAAGATTTGTTTTCATTTTTGAATTGTTTCAAACTAATTTTATTTCAGTTGATAATTTCTCACTGCTTAAACTTATAATTTAAATTTAAGCAGTACTGTGCTTTTCTTCGAAATTGAACCACAATATATTATTCACTTTTTAAAGTGTTTCAAATAATTTAACAGTCCAAACAACTTAAATTTGTGTAATCTCCGTTATAAATCAATGTTCTTAAATTTCTTCTGTTGTCCAAATATAGTTGATTCTTGTTGTTGTCGGCCATTGAGACAGAGCTGGTGCAATTGTTCTTGTTTTCCATCTTTGGCCAATAATTCTGCCACATCCGCTTACAGGGCGAACCCATTCATTTGTTTACAAAATTTTGACCTGAACCACAGAATCTCTAATTCAGTACCCCAGAGGTATTGATTTGTTATGGAGAACTTTGTGACCTGACAGGTTTAACATGCACCAGTCACCATTTACTACACTGGCTGGCTGGATTCACAAATGTGAGGTCCCTGCCAACCAGGCTATCCCAGCCTAGTTGATTCTTAAACTCGATTTATAAAAATTGGTTTGTGTAAACAATAGTAAACTAAATTCAGTTTCCTTAAAAATTTAAATTTTTTATTCTGAAAACCTTAGTTATTTATAGAGTTATAAAAATTTGTACTTTATATTTGCCATTTACACCACAGTCATAAAATATTTCATTTCCATATAGTTAAGGTAAAACAGTAGATTAAATATGTGGGAGCCGTTTTTTGTAATTATAGTATCAAAATTATTTTCATTGTTTATTTTCTTGTTTCTAATTATTGTATGTCACCAGATGAGCACAGCAGGGAAAGAATGTGTCTGTTTTTATTAGGGTTTTTGAAAATGTGGTTTTATATTGAAGAGTCTTATAACAAAATGTAACATTAATTTTCCTTTTCTAATGTTTTTAGGGAGGTTTAACCTCGGATGCCGAGTCACTTAATAATTTACGAGAGCTTCTCGTCATAATAAGAATATTACTTTTTGAATGAAAGCTGTCATCTACCTGTGTTTACAAAAATGTCAGGTAGTGTGTATTTATTTCTTAGTTCTTACTTTTTTACATACCTTCAGTTGTTAGATATTAAAGTGTCAAAAAATGTATCGAATATAAATGTTTATTTTTGATTAGAAGCAGAAATGGGAGTCTGTTGTTAATTTCTTGAGCAATACCTTATTTGCAATTGTTTCTAAAAAGTGAAAATTAATCATAACAAGTTTTATAAATATTCATGTTTTATTTCTACTTAAATCTAGTTATTACAAAAAGATAAATATCAAGCATGTTTACCTTAGTTGCCAACTCTGTGCATGTAGTGAGCTGGGTTCGGTGAGATTATTGCACTCGCCTGTGCAACTCTGCTGCATTTTGCAAGATATTCTCCATTTCAGGCTTCTTTTTTACCCTCTGAAATCAAGCTGAAAAATCTATCGATCATTTTATAATGGCTCATATAATCAAAAAAAGAGTTCTTTGTAAGAAACTAGTTATTTTATCATGATTATGTAAAGTCTTTGAAAATTATTTGCATTTTGTTAATGTATGTAATGCTTAAGAAAAATTTTTGATTTCTTAAAAAGCATTTAAAAGGTGTTTGCTTTTTGTTGAAATATTTGATGAAACTTATGTCTTGTGAGTAGCATAATTTGTTTGTATGACATCTTTAAAATCAACTTTTTTTAGTTTCCACTGAAGGAAGCAATATGAGTTATAAAATGTGCCCCATCGTCGTAACATTTTTTTTATTTAACAATTCTCTAATTAAAAATGGATTGTTATGTGTTTCAATTTTACTTAATTTTTATTCAATAAAGCCTTAGTTTGATAATACATTTTTGAAGCGACAGATTTAAAATATTTTACTTGAACAAATAAAAATGTGTTTCTTCTAGCTTGAAATAAAATTGTATTTGCTTATGCATATGTTTATAAAATTTCAGTATGCTCCAATTTCCTATTTTTCTTGCTTGATTTACAACAAGAAGAGTAAATCCCTAGCTACTATAAAATTTCCTTTCTATGTTGTAAACAAAAATACACAAAATCTTCTTATAATTGCTTCTCTAATGCTTGCAGCTATATAACTTAAAGAAAAAAAAAAATTATGCGGAAACAGTTAAAAAGTAAAAATATTACATTTGCTCATATTTATGAAATTGTTGCATTATAGTACACTAAAAATTTATATATTTTATTCTATGCACATTTTAAATGTTTTATATTATTATTTTAGATAATTTGGATGTTCTGTAACTCTTGTTTAAATTGTTGACAAAAACTCTGATTACACATGGTTCAGAACCTGAGAATACATTATTAGGTATGAATGTTAATTCTTTTTATTTGTTATTTCATTTCAACAACTTATATTAATGATACTTTAACAGTAAATTAATTAAATCAGTGCTAAAATTAACTGGGTGTTATGTTACAAAGTGTAGAATAAATTATTTCATCCAATTAATTTTTGGACTAATTTTGGAAATTTTGTAATGGAATGTCGAAAAATCCATCTGGAATTAATTAAATATATATGCACATAAAGTTTTTAATATTAGGTTATTTGGTGTTAATATTTTTAACTATTTAATCTGTTCAAAATGAAAATGTTAGTGTTCATGTTTTTGTTTTACTTATGTAAAAACATATTTTTACAGAATTTATATTATCATGTTTCATATTAGCTTAAATAAATGAGGCTAATCTAAAGTAATTTGTAACTGATTTTTGGCACCCAAAAAATTGAGAAGCCAGCCTTAAATATATGCTTGATTCTTTGTTTCGGTTGCTAAATATACTTTTTCTTTTATTTTATCTTAACCATCTGAAGGTTTTATTAATAATAAAAAAAAGTAGACGTTAGGAAAATACCCACTAATCTATGAAGTGATATTTATTCTGTAAAAAAAAATAAATTATTTACAACATTTAAAAATTTTTTTTTATAATATTTTAAAAGTTAAATTATAATAGTATAGTAATTATCAAAAACTACAATTTTCGCGATCAAAACAATTGTAATGAAAATTATTTTTAAATATGATTTTAAAGGCAGGCTAGATTGAATTTACTTCTTTTTTCCTTACTGCATTTTTTAAGGTTTTAAGAATACATTTAATGCAGGGTAATATGAGCAAAAAATCTTAACTTTTAATTTCATTTTGGATTTGTTTTGTATGGACCAGAAAAAAATCCTTTTTTTTTTCTTATTAAAAACAATTCCGTTTTTATTTTATCTGCTTATGAATAAAAAGTATTTAATGTTTTGAGTATTTTTTTAAACTAAATCCTATTAGAATTATACAAGTTAAGCATTGCACAAAAATAAACTTTTTCTTGTTCGAACATTAGCTTATTTAATGTTTATTTATTTATTTTTCTTTCCATGTATTATAAATATGTTTGTAACAGGTATAAGTAATTAGTTCATTTCTTAACAATGAACGCAAACTCTTTTTTATCATTCTGGAAATTGCACAGTTTTTGCATTATGTTTCATATTACCCTCATTATTCTTTGATTTCATTTTAAATATCCTATTCTATTTAAATTGGACCTACTTTTTTATGAAAAATCTTTTATTTTATTTCTTATTAACAGAAAATTAATGCACCCAATTAGTTCTCATTCAAAGTTTTTGGTACTTCATTAGATATTTTATTTTGAAATTTAAACAAACTAAAATTTAATTTTTGTAATTGATATTTAATATAAATTTATATTGCAGATGAATGTAGCCTTCTCCCAAACCAAGTGCTGATAATTGAATTAGGAACACAAGCTTTAGGTGTGTATTTTGCACTTGCATTTGTGACAATAACAGTGTAATTATTTATCACTTTTCTTTTTTTCTTTATGATTTCATTTGAAATTTAAAATCTAGTCATTATCGTAAATAACAGGAGTAATCTGCTTACGCATTATTATGCGTCAATTGTGGCCAAGGTTGTAGAGGAGATGTGAATATTAAGTAATCATGGTGCATTACTTAGACATGTAATTCTCAAATGCAGAGAAATGAAGGAAATGAGCGTGCTAGTAGATTTATGTCGACAGAATTATAAATAGATTTTAAATGTATATGCAGTTTTAAACATATATATACCCGTCAATGACGATTTCTCAATTTTAGCGTCTTTTCAGCTTGGTTTTATTTAATCTTCTATATTAATAATGTTAAAAAATCACGGTATTTAGAGGGTCCTCTAATATTATTGCCTTGAAATACCATGTTTCAACAACTTACCAAGTCATCTTTCAACAAAAAAGAATAAGTATTTTAGAATTGTTGGAAAATTCTTTGTGTATTCTCTCTTTATTAAAGAATCATAAAAACTGCAGCTCTTTAGAGTGTTCATTATAATATTGTATTTTTTTTTTGCTGCATGAAAACTTGAAATTACTAAGATACTTAGAAAAGTGCTCAGGAATTGTGATGGAATAAAAAAAATTATTATTAAAAAATTAATTGTTAAGCTTGTTGGAAAAAATACCATTGTTCGCAGACTGCAGAGATACCACTACAGAGTCAAAATTTGGCATGTTAAAAGGTTTCCACGTGTTTGTTTATAATTTTAACAATGAGATTTTTTTTTAAAATTTCAAATTGTTCACGAATTTTTCAATTTTGAAAGCTTTTTGTGTGAATTTTTTCTACCTTTTTTTTAAATTTTCATTGCTTTTGCATTACATTTTGCTTTTTCTGCTCAAAAAGTATTAGACTTAGAAACTTGAAATCAAGAAAGCGTGTAGAAATGTGTACAAGGAAAAAAAGTATGATTCTATTGTTATTTCGAGAATTTACTACAATTTCAGCAACTCTAAAACTTGTAGTAAAAAAAAAATGACTGCTGAAATGCAACTATAGATTTGAAATTTAATGTTCTGACAGGGAACAGTATTTATAATTTTATTTCAAAATTCCCATTTGTTTGATAGTCATTGCAGAAAAAGATGCCTTTTTGTGATTTTTTTTCAGATTTTTTCACTTTAAATATTATCTATTGTTGTGGAAAATTTATTCCCCACGAAATCTTTATTTATTTTTCGTTACTTTATTAACTCACGTATGAGTAGTTGTAAATCAAACATTACAAAAGAGAGAGAAAGATTATGTGTTGTCAGATATAAATCTTTATAGATCAAGATGGCAAAAACTTATTGGGATTCCCTTGGCCTGTCATAGGCTGTAGTGCCCAAGAAGAAGAAAGGATTATTTTACAAATTCAAGTGATCATCCATTTCGTTATGTTAGCAAATGTTCTTGCATGAAGCTAAAATGATTGTTTATTTAGAAACCAAAATGTTCCACGTGTTTATGCAAAATATTGACATTTAAGAAGAAGTAAACAATGGTGAACGAGAATCGTTTGGGGGGATTGGTGAGCAAAGCGAGCAGGGGTCCAAGCCTTCCAGTAAGATGAGAGTAAACAAACAAAAATAACAAAATGTAATTAAATTTGTTTGCATTTTCATGGGAATTTCAATTATAATGGCAATTTTTATATCTCCGATATAATGACATCTTGTAATTTATGATGTTTTTATCCAATTTGACAGCGTCATCATATCAAGGTCCTTCTGTATGTATAAAATATTTTTCTGAATAAATTATGGAGGTAAGTTATAATAAATCTGAGTATCGAATTACATCATTGCTTTGTTGCAAGTGTCTTGATTATTCAAGTTCTAAATTTCTTTGTTTTTTCTATCATTAGAGATAATAGTTATGAATGTGCATATTAATAGATGAATAAAAAGTTTGAGATTTCGCATTCGAAATAGGGAACCCACTTCTAGTGTAAGGAAATTTGGATTAAATGTTTCCTAAGGATCAATATTTTCTAAAGTCTATGGAAATCTACTGGGAAGCAATAATACTATATTATTTGTTTTCTTATGATGCTTTTCTTATGATGCATGATGCTTTAATATATGTTAATTTTAGGTGTTGCTAGCCTAACCCTGTTCATCATGGTGTGTAGCGTTTTTAAAAAGTGTTTAAAGGTGCTTATTTTCGATGTTCGCTATTTAAAAGCCTTTTAAGGTGCTTTTTCCATAGGGTGTTTTAAAAAGTACTTAATTTTGCCTTTTGGAAAAGGAGATTTTTTTCTTTACCCTGTCGGTTTTTTCCACGTATTACGCAAAACATGGTTTTCTTATACATACTTTTCACATTGTTCTATACAACGTTTTCACAATTCATTCAACCACAACCCATTTTAACAATTAACCACAATCCAACTGTCAGTTTGAAGAAATACTTGTCAGTCCGTATGAGCGTCTACTGAGTTCAGTGAGATTATTGCGTTCAGT